AGACCACAGTTGACCACAGGAAACTGAAACCACAGAAAATGAAACCATGGATAAAGGGAGGTGGGCTGCTGCCCTAGCCTTTGAACGAGGAGCATTAGCAATCCCACAACTTCAATGCACAGAACAAATCTATGCTGTGTGATTCTGTACTGCAGATGGTGTGAGTGAGATAGAAACTGAGGGTCTCCTGACTATGGGGTGGGAGGGAGCAGCACAGCCTCCTGCTCATCAGGACTCTAAAGGGAAACAGAACCAATGGGATACATTGATGGAGAATACATATATAGAGGGAGAATATATATATATATAGTTTATTATTTTATATTTTATATATTATTATTATACATATATATAAAATCTTCCATTTATTTATCTAGAGAATTTAGCTCATATAATCATGGGGACAGGCCAGCAGACTGGAAACTCAGCACAAACTGATGCTGCAGTCTTGAGGCAGAATTTCTTCTCCAGGTAACCTCAGTTTTTGCTCTTTTAAGGTCTTCAACTGATTGGATGAGGCCCACTCCTATTATGGAGATAATGTCAACTTACTGAAAGTCAACTGATGGTAAATGTTAACCACAGCTACAAAATAGTCTTCATAGCTACACCTCAATTTGTGTTTGATTAAATTGAGTACGACAGTCTAGGCAAGTCAACACAAAATCATCACATCTTCCCATCTGCTCTGCATCTGAGTACCCATGTAAACCCCTAATCTGCTTCCAGAAACATGTTTTCTTCAAAGTACCTTCTCATTTTTTTTCCCTGGCTGTGAATGGAGAATGTAAGGAAGGACCCATTAATTTCATGTCTTTTGAAAACCTTTAGATTCCCAAGACCATCTTGGCCGAAGAGTTGGTATATGGTTAAACTTCTGTCACCCACAGTATATTTTGCCCTCCAAGAGCAAAAATTAACTCTACTGGTATTTTAATCATAGGCCTCCAACAAGGGTTGACTTGTATCTTTCTCCATTTTATGTTAGAAGAGTAGGCAAGCACTCCCCATAGCCAAAATGTTCACTTGTACCTGGCAGGTGACTTGTTAAAATACTCCAGTGACATAAATTTGTAGACACACCACTCAGGCACTGCCTAATCCAGGTGCCACTAAACTAACCACTGGATGGCGTGGATTTTTTTTAAATGCACGTAAGAAAAAGACTTTCCCTATATTGTCAATTCCCCTTCCACATTCAACATACAAATAAAGTCTTTGAATTATTCGTGCTGGTTTAATCCAAATCCTTGGCACCAAAGGTGTGCTGACTCAGGCCTCTTCTAAACTGGTCTGTCCCTTCAGGACTCCCCTTCATTAACACTTCAAATCAAGGTACATTAAACAGGCTTCCAAGATAGCCGGGTGATTTGAATTCACTCTTCTAGCACTTATAAAAACTCCTTTTTGAAGAGTGCTATGGAAGTATTTTAGAAGAATAATTAAAAACTAAAGAAATAAAATAAGAACTGGAAGCCAGGAGGGAAAAAAAAGCAATGAATATGCTCTAATTTTGAGGGCCCAGCTCCATGCGTTAAGAAGTGATCCGCTTGGCCAGAGTCCAGCTTTTTGACGCTGCTGCCTGAAGGAGTTACCTCCTCGCTAGATTCGAAGACCTTTGAGAACACCACAAACAGCTTCTGCTGTTTTGCTAGCACAATGCTGGGCATTCAGGGGATTAAGGAGAACAGGCCTGACTGAAAAGTAAAGCCAGAATTCACCACTGAAACCAAAAAACAGACACAGGGACGTTTCTCCTTTAAATTCCAGTACCTCATCCAGAATCCTGACGTACTGACTTGGGAAGCTGCCCTCAGGCACCTGTAGACTATCAGGTTTCTACTGCTTCAAAGAACATTATTGTTTTATTCAGCGCATCAATCCAGTATAGCCTAGCAACAAACACTTCCTTCATGTCTGTGAAAGAATCACGTAGGAATAACTGAGGAACCTCATGCTGCCCTGAGGTCCGGCCACCCCTGCAACAAGAATATAATGAGCACTCATTACACTGAATTTGGGATGTGCCCGGCAGTCTTTTCTGAGCTCAAAGTACTTAATCTCATTAGCTATCAGATACCATGTCTAATCCGATGTTCAGACTCGTGTCTGCTGTGTAATTGGGTTCAATGCGTATATTTTAACAATAAAGTAGGTAGTGGCCCCATAGAGAAGTTAAATGTCCTTGAAGAATCCATTAACTAAGGGACAAAGGGAAAGGAACAAAATCTCACATATTCCTAACTGCAGACTGGAAAACAAACCCAACTTAACCCAAACAAACTTCTGGACATAATGGTGTCACAGTCCAGCAACTGCTCTAACTCTCCAAGGAACCCTATATAAGAAGCTTTAGTTACATTTGTCCGTGCATTTGAAAAGCAGTTATTTGTTGACCACTGACTGTACATGAGTGGTGTTGGGTGTTTGTGGGGACAGTCAGTTGTGAACCCAGTCCCTGAGCTCATGGGGCCCAGGAACCTGGTGACACATAAGATTAGACACATAAGTAGACCAACCTACTTCACTTGAAAATATAACTGACACACTTTTTATTTCCTGGAATCCCAAATTATCAGCAGTATTTCTTTACTGCTCATCCTAGAAACGTAATTCTAACTCTAATTCACTTGGTCCATCCCTTATACTGCACTCTTGTTCCTTACATTACATTACATTCAGTCCAGTGCCATCCATTTCTATGACTTTCTCAAGTCTCAAGATATCTGATCATTGAAGCCTGTTGAAAGAAAAGGGGAGCTTAGAATTACTGAACATCTAGGGCCTCCCCTGGCTGCGCAGCGGTTGAGCACTGGGCTGCGAGGCTGCCCACAGCCTCTGCAGCGCCGGTCCGTTCCCCGGCTGGCAAGGGTCCCACCAAAAAAAAAAAAAAAAAAAAATACTGAACACCTATTACATGCCAGCCCTAATATGAAGCGAAAAGTGAAGCAGCTCATTTACCCCAATGATTCTTGGGCCTGAGCATTAATGTAACTCTTCCTTCATGTGAGGATGCTGAAGATCAGAGAGAAGTAAACAATAGAATGGGTCAGTGGCAAAAGGTTCACCTAAAAACTGGAGTTACTGACCACAGAGGTCGGTGTTCATCAAGGTTCCTGAACAAGCAGCCAGATGTAAGAGGCCGTCAGTCAAACAATACAGTCTCTCCATCCTATAACAGCCTACAGGCTCAGTCACTTACTGGCTTATGGGGTCTCAGGTAATGGTACCTAATGGTTTTGAACCTAAGCCTCAACTTCATCCTCTTACAAAGGGGAAATAGCATCTACCTAGTAGAATTGCTATGAAGATTTAAAGTGCATGTGGCACTTAAAGTCCTAGTGGTAATGACACTGCAGCTGACTGCCTCACTAAGATCAGAGGAAATAAAATTATCATTTGTACTTCTACCTAAAACTCTCCCTACAGACAGCTGTAAATGCCCACTCAAAGTGGCAACCTTGAGAAAAAAAACCCAATGACCAAGGATGTCTCTGGCTGCAAAAGCTCAGATTATTTTTGCTTTGCAGGTAAGAATTTGTTTTTAAAAAATGTTTCCTTTATAAATGCATTTAGTGTTATTTTACACTAACCCATTTTCAGAGGAAATTGTTAAAGCTAAAATTTAAGAAAGCAGAGGTGACCGAGGTGGGGAGTGGAAGGGAGACATGGCAGGATGATCACCATGGAACTCTGCGTTTCCCATAAGCAGAGACTGGTAGCCCACAACCCTTGAGACAAATGGGTGTATCCTGTGTCACCCACTGTCCTAAGCATCTGGCTAATCAGGGAAGTGATTTGAGAGGAAGTAATGAACTGGAATCCGGTTTAAAAGATGTATTAGTTCTACAGCATTTCAATGTGAGTATTATTTATTTATACATCCCACAGGTGCCAGGACTGTGTAATTAATCCTATGTTCTCTTGACTCAGGAAACGACTGGGGTTTAATACAGTTTAAACAAGTCATAGCAATTTCCCATACAGATTGCCCACATGCATCTGTCCTTTCTCTCGGCACCTTAAACTATTTCTCAGGCATAACCACACAGCACACTCCTGGGAAAAAGGCAGAAACAGCATTCTGTGCATCCATTTACAAACAGAGAATGGGTAACTTATCTAAAGACCACAAAGATTATTGGGAAGTGAAGGGAATAATGGCAGTAGAATCTTTATCTCCCCCTGAGGTCCAGGTTCAGTCCATTGAGCTCTGAAGATGCCCAGTGCGCCCAAAGCCACAGCAACCTGCACACTCCAGGAGGAGCCCCTGAGGTGTCATGCTGAGTGTGTGGGGGCTGCACACCTGAGATTGGTGGGGAGGGGGGCAGTGACTGAAGGTTAGGCCTTGGGCGATGAGGAGGGTGGTGAGAAAGGAAAGTCTGAGCTACCCTACATGTGAAAGTTGTTTGAAAATTACAGTTGTCCCTGTTGTCCACCTACGAACATTTCCTAAAATCTAGGAACTCCCATTTGGACATTTTTGAAATTAAGATGGCTGCCCCCTTCTCCTTCCTCAACCTGATTCTCTATCTCCTACTCCAGGGTTAGTTTTAGGTTTTCTCCCCAACTCTGTTTTCCATTTATGCCACTACTCTACAGTCATCTGTTGCTGGTGTTTATCACAACTCTGTAATGGATCCAACTAGTTAACAATCTTGAGTTTTATGCACTTGAGGTCCTGTGAACCTTAGTGGAACTAAGTAAGACTCGATTCCATGAGAAACAAAAGTAACACTCCATGAAATGACCAACAATCACATTTACATGTTTAAGTGGGGATTCTTATTTGTTTACAATCATATCTTTGATTCGCATATTCCTGCCCATGACTGCAGACACAACTATTCCTTACACCTCAAAAAACGATGCTTCAAGTTCACAGATCACCTGTTAAATGCAATTTAGTCAGCGTGCCCCCTCATTACTCCATTCCTTTCTGATGCTAGCTCCCCACACCTGATCCAGGCACAGCGCCTGGGAGTGAGAGCCACACCCACCTTTGCCCAAACATCAGTGTTGACTTAGTCTCAGCTTCATTGAAGACAGACGGAGAACAACATATAACGATGGTGGTTCTACAGTTCCCGCCCAGAGAGTCCTGAAGAATCCGAGTCATCTTGCTGTCCCGGTACGGCACGTGTGTTTTCTATTTAAGAAAAGAAAAGGCGTTGCCTGTTACAGCCCATTCAGAGGAGAAGCAGAGGCAAGCGAATGAAGGACACACAGGACTTAGAAACACGTGTGAAATAAGAACCTGCTGCCCAGACTTTAGATCTTGCCAAAGTTTAGAATGCCCAATCTGAGATCCGAGTGATAGGAAATTAGCATCACCATCCACACATTTTAATGGACTGGATCTCCCAGTCAGGAGTCCACGGTCAGCATTCCCTCTGTCTCTGTCCAAACTAAAGCAACCAAATCTCAGGGGGGCTATGGCACAGAGAGTATACATGGAGCCAAAAAAGTGACTTCCCATATTATCACTTCATAGACACAGGATGACTTACCGTCCCTTCTGCCAAAGCAGAGATCACATTTCCAAGAGCAGACAAAGACTTATTGATATTTTTAGCTTCGTCAAGAACAGCTCCCTCGGCACCGGTTTTGCTGACCTACCAGAGAAGAGAGAAAATAGTAAGCTGCACAGCACAGCAAAAGCATAGAGTAGAAAATTCCAATGTACAGGAAGACAAAAAGGGAGTGAGGACAGTGTGGATCTTCCTGAAATGCAAGGAAAAATAAAAGTAAGTAAGAATCACATTGACAAAACCTTCCCTCATACCCAAGGCTGGGATTTCTTCTCCCTTGTTGTCATTTTCCTCTCAATTAGGTTTTAGGGGAATGACTGCCATGCCTCAAGTGGTAGCACTGCAGATGCTTCCAAGGGGGACAGCCTCCCAGGGAAACCGGGCTCCAAAAGTGCTGTCACAAGGGGAAGACTGGCGCCCCAGGAGATGAACAGTCTTCACGCCTGAGGGAAGCATTCAGAGAAAACGCCCTCCTGAGCCACAGTGAGCAGCTCCAACATCAGATGAAGGAGAAGAGGCAGTGGGGAGGCCTGTCAGACTCTCTGTTCCTTCCCTACTGACTCCCAAAGCCAAGAAAAAGGAACAATTTATCCAAAAGGAGAAAAAGAAAACTTGGAGAAGCATAAAAGTCAAGATGATGTATATTATAATGTAAATTTGTTTTTTTATCCTCTTCAGCCACAGGAAGGATGCACGGTTGCTCCCCGGCTATGTTATTACTGGTAATTTCATATTTACAGCAGTTGTACCAGGTAACATTTACAGAGCAGAGAAAAAAAGGGAACTCAACATGATTCATAGCTCTGCTGACTGGACAAACGATGCAGGTTGAACAGCTGCTCTCTGAAGAAAAAAGTAGGGAAACAACTTTAAACTGCACAGCGGCTGTTTTTCAAATATAAACAAAGAAAAAACTCTCAACAATAGAGATGAAAGCATATCCTAGAGGATGTTTAGCAAATAACATGGATTTTCATGTCTTTGGCATTGTCACGGCAGGAGGGGAGGGGGGCGGCCTTCCCACTTACAGATAAACAACCAGGCTGGTGGGTGACAAATAGTCACCATCTACTCACATGATGCTACTTAAATGATTGCATATTTGGGTGTCTTAACTCCATAACATGTACCATCACCTTTCTTTTACACACAAGGAAAATTTGAGTCCAAGAGATGCTGAATTGCCGGTCCCAGGGAAGAGCACTATTTTCAGGGAGTCAGGGGCTAAAGGTCAGAGCATTGTTCTATGAGACCACACTGATCCATTCACGTGGACACACTGAGGGTAAAGGAAAACGTTTGAGCAAGAAAAACAATGAGCAGGACCACAACGTTAAATGCCTCATAAATACCATAAGCAATAACCACCAACGCTGTGCAGAGAGAGCAGCCCTCCACCCTGAACAGCCAGCATGGGACATTTTTTCTGTGCAGTTAGGCCTAAGTACTTATCCTCAGACTCTAAAGGGCAAGGGACAAACTTAAGAAGGGCCAAGGGCCACTGGATTCTTTGCAGGACCCATACAGCTGGTGGAGCAACAAAATGAATCCTGGCTACTAATGGTCAGTCTAGAAATGCTCTGGATTCCTGTTCTTTGGGTGTCTGTTTAATTAGTTATAAACATGGATTAGTAAAATTTTAGACTCCCATCCAGTAATACTCAGATGAGTTTCTGCTCACAGCTTTACAAATAGAGAGTACAGGAGGCCAATCTCAGTGGCCATTACTTACACAGGTATTAGTGGCCATAATTTGGCGTACAGCAACTCAGTGGTGGGGTGCTGCCAGTGGGGATCAATGACACAGTTTGGGAAACTGACTGTACTTAGGGGCTAATTAACCCCAATGGGGATAATTGGCATGATGTCAGCTATGATGGTGGCCACTTGGCATTGTGAAAGTGAACTTGCTCTGTGATGTCACCCAAGAAGGCAGCACCCCAGCCAGGGTGTGGCAGCAGGCACCTCTGATGGCTGTGAGGCTGGAGCCAACCTACTTGGAGTGTGGCCTCAGCCAGTGCCTAGGAGGGCAAGGGACAGGGAGCAGCCAGTGCCTGGGAGAGCAAGTGCCTGGGAGGGGAAGGGACAGGGAGCAGATGCCAACACACAGCCTGGACAAAACCAGAGGAGGGTCAGGACTTGTGGCTAAAAACACCAACTACAGCCTTCATAGACTAAAATAAGAGAGGTAACCCAAACAAGACAAGTCAGTTGATGCCTACTGTAAAAGGAAACAGGGAATGCAGAGAGAAACCTGGTTCTAGATCTTTGATCGAAAAACAGCCTGCAGATTCCAATGGCAAAGCCCTTTTCTGACCTATTTGTGTCTGGCACAACATGGGAATCTTTCCTTTTCTCACAAGTTCATGATGTACCTCCACATTTGCACAGCTGCCTTCACCAGGCTATGTTCACACGAACATTTACCTAATGTCATCAGCATAGCCTGTTAGGTATAAATCAGCATTGGCATTCAAAATATCTCCCTGTGACGCAAGTAGGGGACTTCAGGACCAGAAAAGAAAAAGCTGGGAAATGAAGGTTAAATTTAATAACATCTTGGCACAACATCAGAAACTTTAAAAGCTCTTTAAAAGCAGGGAGTAGAAAGGCATAAAAATTATACCACTGCACACTGAAGCAAATAACAGAGGAAAATTATAGATAATACAAATAAAGAACCAATTACCTTTTCGCTTCCAGCCAAATCAACTAGATAAAGCTTCCCACTGAGTTTTTTTTCAGTCTCTACATTCTCTTGTTTAATATTAATCAGGAAGATACTGTGACTTCTAGAGCTGTGTTCATTCATGTCTGAAAAGGAAAATAGTTTACTGCTCTGCAGAGAACACATAAATTTAGGTAGCAAAACTCTCATGTAAAAAGCCAACAAATCATACCTAATAGCTCTATTTTTTAAGTCAGTCCAGCCATTTTTAAAAATTGAGACCACCATTTCTTCTTAAAATCCACATTGATTGTAGAAATGAACGGTTTAAAATGTCTTTGAGTACAAAGAAATTAATCTAAAAATCTTAGTCACTGGTTTAAGTGACAGATTCCCTAGCTCTGCCTATAGCCCCCAAGCCCCAAAATCCTACTGCAGCCTGACTTTCTCCTTAAGGAGCTCACAGCATCTCCCCTGCCTCACTTAGTTCCCCATCTTGATCATCAAGCTTAGCAACTGATGCAGTTCTCATCTTCTTCACGCATGCAAGTCTTGCTTATCAGTACTATCATGTTTTCTTATGGAGAGACTTGCTCTATAATCCATAGTAGGTACATAGAGGATCTCAAAGATTAAATGATTTATTAGGATGGAGCACAGAGAATGAAAATAAATCTATTTCAATGTTAGTCTGTGTTGACCAAGCAGGCAGAGACTCCAGCCAAAGTCTACTAGTAATCATTTCTTTAACCCATTTTACCAGATTATCTGAAAAAAAAAAAAAAAAAAAAAAAAAAATCCTAAACATTCTACCAAAAAACTCTGCTATATAAATGAATTAAGCAAAGTTGCAGGATGTAAAATGTTTGTATTTCTACATTCTTACTAACAGTGAACAATCAAAAAGGAAATCAAAGTAATGCTTTAAAATAGCAATCAAAAAAAAATTCTTAGAAACAAATATAACAAAAAAAGTGAAAGACCTGTATACTGAAAACTACAAAATATTTCTAAGAACTTAAAGACACAGAAAGACATTTATGGATTGGAAGATTCAATATTATTGAGACATCAAGACTACCAAGTTATCTGCAGATTCAATGTAATTGTTATCAAAATCCCAATGATGCTTTTTGCTAAAGTACAAAATTCATTCTAGGGCCTCCCTGGTGGCACAGCGGTTGAGTGCTGGGTTGCGAAGCTGCCTGCAGCCTCTGCAGCGCTGGTTCGATCCCTGGCTGCTCCCCGGCCACCTGAGGAGGGTCCCACATGGTGCACAGACCTCTCCTGCCACCCGCTGCTCCCCTCAGCAGTGTACTTCAGTCCTTCTGCCTGCTCTGCTCCCTGCTCTGGCTCTGGTGAATTCTCTCACCCTCCCGTGCTTCTGACTGTACCCAGTGCTTGTATAAAATAAATAAAGAAATCTTTAAAAAAAAAAATTCATTCTAAAATTCATACGGAATCTAAAGGGATCCCAAATTGCAAAAACAATTTTGAAAAAAAAAAACAAAATTTGTAGTCTCACACTTAATGATTTCAAAAGAAAGTTATGGTCATAAAAAATGTGATATTGGCAGAAAGCAGACAAAAAGACTAATGAACTGAACAGAGGGCACAGAAGTAAATCCTTACATAATATTGTCAAATTTTCAACAAATGTATCAAGACCACTCACTGGAGTAAGAACTGTCCTTTCACCAAATAAAACAGTGCTGGGCAAACTGAATATCTACCCGCAAAAAACAAAAAATGAGGTAGGACCCTGACCTTAGGCCTATGAAACTGAATAAAGGAAATCTGACTCAAAATGGACTCCTGCAGCTATAAAAATATCAAGCGCCTACCACTTGCATCTTGCAAGACATCCCGGGCCCAGAGACAACAAACTGTCTACCACCTGCAGCCAATGAGAAATGGCTGCAACCTCAAACTCTCAATTAACTTTTGTTCAAAACAGCCCTGTCCAATTTCCTTCTAAAACCTAATAAAAGCCAACCTTCTCTGCCTCCCTGGGCAAGCCTATGTTTTGCCACAGCTGATTGCAATCCTTCTGCTATTCCCAAATAAACTCAATTTGATTAGTAAAAGACCTTGCTATTTCATTTCAAGGTTGAGAGGCCACATACAAAACTTAACTCAAAAAGGACTAATGACTAACTGTAAAAGCTAAAACTGCAAAGCCTTAGAGGAAAACTTAAGGGGAAAGCTTTACGACACTACAGTTGGCAATTATTTCTTGAATAGACCCCAGAAGTATAAGCAAAAATGAAAAATAGGTAATTTGGAATTCACCAAATTAAAAACTTTTATGCATCAAATGATACTCTCAACAGAGTGAAAAGGCAACCTATAAAATGAGAGGGTTGTGGTTATTTACAAGTCACAGATCTGATAAGGTACTGATGATATTTTGAACAAACCAACAACAAATAACCCAACTTAAAATGGGCAAGGGACTTGAATAGTCATCTCACCCAAGAAGATATGAAATGGCCATTAAGCACATGAAAAGATGGTGAACATCATCAATTACTAAAGAAATGCAAACCAAAACCATAGTGAGATACATGTGATGGTCATTAAGATAGCTACTGCAAAAAAAAATAAATAAATCAATAACCATTGTGGAGGAGGTAGAGAAATTGAAACTTTTTGACACATTATTGGTGGAAATCTAAGATGGTGCACTTGTTATGGAAAACAGTATGACAATTCCTCAAAAGATTAAAAGTAGCAATACAGTGTGATCCAGAAATTCCCTTCTGGGTATATACACCCAAGAACTGGAAGCAAGAGAGGGACAGATATCTCTACTCCCGTGTTCACAGCAGCATTATTAAGAACAGCCATGTGGGGTAAATAATTGTCAGGTTTTTCTGCCCTCCAACCATTAGGATTAATGACGGATCCCTGCGGTCCTGAATGCATGCCTGATGGCGGGTACCTGGAGTGGAGTGTGGGTACACCTGGGCTGAGAGACCAGGATCATAAGGGCGGTGTCACGGGATGCCAGAAGACAACGGAACACCAGAAGGAGGAAAGAGAGAACACCAGAGAGCCCAGAAGGAGTGAAGATTCACGGGGTGAGGGCCGGAGGGGAGCTAGAGGCCTGCCAGCTTCCCGACCCCCCAGCACCCCTACCGTCCCTGTACCTGGTAAACTCAATAAAACCCCGAAAAAGCTACCGAGGGCTCCAGGACTCCTCCTTCACCAGTCTGCTCAGATCATAGAGACCCTGCTCAGTGCCCATCATGCCACTACAAGCCATAAAGTGAAACCAATCAAGTGTCTACATATGGATGAATGAATAAACAAAATTCCACAAAATGGAATGTTGTGCCTTTTTTAAAAAGGAAATTTTGACCCATGCTACAATGGATGAACCTCGAATACATTGTGTTAAGTGAAATAAGCAAGTCACAAAAGGACAAACCCAGTATTATTCTACTTATGTAAGTAGTTAGATTCATAGAGATAGAAAAATAGAATGGTGGTTACCAAGATTTGGGAGGAAGGCATACAGGGAGTTATTGTTCAATGGGTATGGATTTTGAAATTTAGGATGATTAAAAAATTCTGAAAATAGTTGTGATGGTTGTACAATATTGAGAATGTATTCAATGACACTGAATTAATACACTTAAAAAGGGTTAAAAGGTCAATTTTATGTTATGTATATTTTCCCACAAAAATTTTAAAATGTACCTTGTCAAAATAAGAAAAATAGCAATATTCTGAACCAATAGTTCTTGGGAACCAAAATAGTTGTCAGGTATGCCATAAATAATTTGTAACCATCAATAGCTTAAGAAACCAAGTGAATAACCTCTTTATAAATAAGAGATGTTATATAAGAGGATTCTTACATCCTTTCATGTATATTTGTGTATTTTAAGCAAAAAGAAAGAATTACAGTTTAATACAAGCTTAAGCTCACCTATGAAATTTGCCACATATATGAATATCATGTCACAAGATTTTTGGAATAGAAAAAAATGTTGCATATTCACCTTTCAGGTCTGAATACAGAATCACAGAACTTTGGGTGGAAAAGATTTAACAAATTTGACTAATCAACCAACCAATACTTGTATCTCGTCTACAATAAACAGGGAACTTACCACCTTTCCAAGTAGCAGACTTTACTTGGGGCAGCTACAAGAATTAGAATGTTCTTCTCAAAGTAGGTAAAAATCTACCTCCTTAGAAAAAGGAACTCTACTACACTGCTGTAGGAAAGCAAATTGGTCCAACCACTATGAAAAGATATATGGAGGTTCCTCAAACTGCTAAAAAAGGAGCTTCCATGTGATCCAGCAATTCCACTTCTAGGGATCTACCCGAAGGACACAAAAACATTCATTTGTAAGGACACCTGTACCCCTATGTTTACTGCAGCACTATTTAAAATAGGTAAGCTATGAAAACAACCCAAATGCCCAAAAATAGATGATTGGTTCAAGAAGATGTGGTACATATACACAACAGAATATTACTCAACAATCAAAAATGATAAATTCATGCCATTCACAGCAACATGATGGAGCTGGAAGGGATCATGCTCAGTGATACAAGGCAGAAAGAAAAAGAAAAATACCTGATGGTCTCACTTATAGGAAGAAAGCAGGGTATCCAAATAAGAGATCAGAGGGGAAAAAAGTTATTATAATAAAGTAAAAATCAAAATCAACAGGCAACTATAAACCAGAGATATTCTGCAGAGGGGGAGGAAGGAGTTGGATCAAAACAGGAGTGGGAAAAGCACAAGGGACTATGGTGATGGTACATGAGTGAATTGGTGGTGGAAATTCCATGGGGACTATACCCAAAATGATAAAGCACACATTGTATAAAAATGAAGAATGATACAAAAAATATATAAAATAATAAGGAAAAAAAATTAGAGAAAAAAAAATCTACCTCTTTATAGCTTCAGTGACCCTGGGTGGCCCAACCCATGCAGACTGAATGAAGCAAAATGAGTCTCTCAATGTCGATACCTTGAACAGCTTAAGAAATATTGCATTGTATACATGACCTTCCTGGATTTATTTCTCTCCTCCAACCTAGAAATCCTTAGCTCTTTCAACTGAACAGTTCTTCATTTGAACTCACTCTCATTTGTCTGTGTCTGTCTGAATAAGACAAACTCTGTTGCTCTAATACCATCCAACCTGTTTCCCCAGATGTGTGTACAGGTTGAGGAAGGAGCTGCAAGGTAAACAAGCTGATCTGAATATGTTTGTTTTTGACACCACCATTAGAAAGTTTACAATAAAGCTCCCAGCACTGCTTCCTGAGTTCCTTCTTTGCAGAGGGCAGTAATCTAACATGGTTTCTTTCCATGTGTAGGATTTGCATATAAAACTTGCTGGTTTAGATTTTTTTTTCACCTGAGTAATAACATGGTTAAAATAAATAAGTTTAGTAGGTTATTCCCTCTCTCCCCCTTTGTTGGCTGGTAGTCTGTTCAAGCTTAGGCTGTTACCATAGTCCAGTGAGTCTCACTCAACATTTCCAAGAGTTTCTCTGACAGCAGAAGACACTATTTCCCTTGATTTGCCTACATATACCTGTATTGCACAATCCCGTTTTCCAAGTACCTTCCTATGCATAATTTCAGTTTGGACCTACTACTCACTCCCCCTATTAATAAGCAGACATTTATCCTAAGTTACAGGACAAAAGGAAACACCCCCACCAAGCTTACTTGTTACGGCCACATGCCGGTTTGCTTTGCCTTCATCTATCACATCCATGACTTCCTCAGGGCTGGACACAAACCTCTCGGTACACCCCTAGAAGACAATCAGTTGAGGTTCAGCATTAAAAATTTGAAAAGCAACAATATTTTGAGTGAGCTAAACACTGTAGCATTTTCCTTCTAGAGGTGAGATCAAGAGAAAGCCTATAATGTTGATCCAGCAACTTTGCCTGCCTCCATACAGCTTAAATTCTGCATTAAAAAGAAGTCTGAGCAAATCCAGAAGTAAACAATAAAGGAAGTCCTTAGTTTTCCTAGATTTTTGAGAACATATTTATATTCAACAGCAATGGAGACAGAAAATAATGATGAAAAGCATCACTTTCCATATTTATGTATCCATTATTTATTTACTTACCACTCTAACAAACAACTTTAAGCACTTGAAGTTCTAGACATAATGTTATAGGGAGGTTTCCCCTAAACAACTATATTCAAGACAATTAAATGTGAGTAACAAGTATTTGTTCACTTCCGTAATTCTGATTTCGTATAATTAAACATCTATGATACATTTATACAGGGAGATACAAGTGAATAAATTAAAGGTTTATTTTTTTAACCAGAGGAATATTAAATATAAGAAGATGATTAAATACCTGTAAGTGCTTTAAGGGCATATTATTCCTAAGGGCAGTAATGCGTGGAACCAAGAGAGTTTTTTTACCCAACCAAGGTAAATGGGTGGGAACTCGGCAACATTCTGGGCATCTTATGAAATAATTACAATCACAGTGACTGGAGAAACAAATTATACCATCAAGTTATCCTCATACCTTTACATACGGGACTCTATTTTTATCTTCATGAACAGCCAAGTTTGTCTTAGATACTACAGAGTTGATAATGATGACATGCAAACAAGAAGAGAAAAGAAAAGTTAAAGACCCTGTAATGGAGGGAAATAGAAATTGTTACAGAAGATAGACAAATCTAATCTCTTAGATTAGATTTTAAAAAAAACCAAGTTTGAGTCTTGGCTGAGAATAAGCAGATTAGTTTTAAAAATGCAAGTTTTAGTGTTGGCTGAGAATAAGCAGACAGCATGGAAGCAATAGAACATCTCTATAAAACTTCATTAATAACTTCAGCAGAAGTGCCATAAATCATTTCAGCTTCCCTGAACTTTTGTTACCAACAAATTGAAGACAGGCATTAGGATCACTCACCATCAAGTAGGTCCCTGATTTTGTCCAAGTAGATCTCAAAATAGGAAACCTGGTTAAAAACAAATTGAATTTGAAACAGACATATCATGCTGTATTGTCAAAATGTCATTATTAGAACTTACATAAGCTTTTTGGCATGCATGGCTAAGCAGAGTGAGAAGAAGGAGTACAAAGAGTCTCCAGGGTCAGGAGAGCAGAGCTCTAGTCAGCTCTCCTGGATTCCTCTGCTTCCTGCCTTATCAGCTTGCTCTATGGGTCCTGATCTCCATCCCCACACATCACAGTTCCCCATGGCTCCATCCAAGTCTTATTTACATTATGTGTTCATCAGGTGCTAGACAGCGAGTTAGAGGAGGAGTCTAGCTTTTCCCCTACAGGATCACCAAGCAAACTTCCAGGTGTGACAACAGCTGCAACAGAAAACATCCTGTGCAAGTAATTGTAAAAAACACCAGTAGGCTTCACCTTATGCATGCCATTGACAGCCTCATCAGACAGTGGCAAGCATGATAAAAGCATAGGAGAGGATAAGGGAATAAATGCCTGGAACTAAGAGAATTCAGAAAGGTAAATGAAAGAGTGCTGGTGAGTCCAAGAAGACCTGGAGGGTCCAGGAAGGATCTGAACAAAATATAGTTTTTTGAAACACAATTTAGACTATAAGAGGGAAAGGAAACCTTCCAATGAATTATTCACCGAAGTCTCAGCTCCAGCATCACCTGCATCAACATCTCTCAGAGCCTTTGTTTAAACTGCAAGCCTGAACACTTGTAGTGATACATTTGAATCAGATTCTCCAGGAACAGGACCTAGGAATTGGCTTCTAAACTCCCCAGGTGACTTCTATACTTGCTGACATCTGAGAACAACTGAAACTAGACATGGGCTCTTGGGAGATTTAATTCACGTGTAACTAAGAGCCTAGGCCTCAATTTTCCCATTTGTTATTAGACTTGATAATGTCAAAAATTAACTCTAGGAATCTGCAATCTGTCCACACTTGCCTTCTGCCTTTCAGATCAACTTTTCTCTTACTCTTGTTCATAGGTTTTTTAAAAATCTGAACAAATACATGGACAAAAAAGTAAAAAAGATATTTCAAAAAAATTGTTAAGTTGGGATGTGACTACATGTGAAACCACATCCCCACATCACAGCTCTGGACCAGTCCTGCCTCAGCTAGGGGGAGTGAAGACTCCCCCACTAACCCAACACTAGTTCTAACTCAGCTCAGCCCTGGCTCATTATCTTTTATTTGTCTCAGCCTGGAACCTCCGATTCACAGATCTGGGGTCCTAGCTTCCAACCCTGGTGTAGGGTAGATAAAAGGTATCAGGCTTTTTTGCCCTTCCGCCATTAGGATAGATGAGGGAACCTCGTGGTCCTGAATGCATGCCTGATGGCGGGCACCTGAAGTGGGTACACCTGGGCTGAGAGATTGGCCTTTTAAGAGCGGCGTCACAGGGATGCCAGAAGGAGAAGCCGAGAGAAGAAAAGCAGAGAGAATGCCAGAGAGCCCAGATAGAGTGAGGATTGGCTGGAGGCTGGGAGGACTACCAGCCTCCCGGCCCCCCAGCACCCCTGCCTGCCACATGCCTGGTAAATCTAAATAAAAAGCCTGCAAAACCCACCGAGGATGCTCTAGGACTCCTTCTCTAGCCAGTCTGCTGGATCAGAAAACCTGCACTGTGTCCTTCCTGTCCTTACACCTGGTATGTGTTGCCATCACCCCAACAACTTCTACTAAATATCTGTCAGACTCCCCCATCATTCAGCCTCATCTACCACAGACACTATTACTGGCCTTCAAAAGACCCACTGCCCCTTGAAGCCTCCTGCAGTGACGGGGATCCTAAGGATCTGTTTAGCCTGTAATCTCAGATATTGCTAAACCATTCCTTCTGCAGCCAACTCAACCCTGGTTCCAAGTCATTCTATTTATTTCCGAATTTTCTTGTTTTCATAAGACTTTTCCATTTTCTTTGAGATTTTAAACAGATGACAGCGCAAAGTATTTATACTTAAAAAAGTCATAAACTAGGTATTAGCAATTACAGTCATTAGAATCCTATTCACGTAGGTTTCTGCTTGGACGGAGGGGCCTTGGTTTTGTTATTCTTTTTTCAAATACTTTATGAAGCCAGGTGGAAGAAAAATAAATAGGTATTGTCTGACATTAATAGCATGCTCAGAAATAATGTCTAAAACTTCTGTGGGACTCAATTAAGGAACAGATTTGTCATATTGCCTTAATCAAGCCTCTTTTTCTTGATTAAACCTGTCACTATTCACTTTAAAATACAGAGTAGTCAATAGCTAACATGCCCAGTTACAATTATTACTTATGAAATAAGTGATCATGACTGCAAATGCAAAAAAATAAAAGGAAGCCAGACTGTAAAATTCAGCCCTAGAGACTTGGGAGTTCTTCCTCTCCTCCCCCTTCATGTTGCTACTACTTTTATCTTAATAAGATTCTAATAAAGGACCCTATTTTGAGGGTAGTAATTGGTTTAACATCTTACTCCAGGATTATCCCATAAGAACCCACCAGTATTTTAAGGTATTTAAATGCAAACAGCCTTAAAGATGTACTAAGCTCCTAAATCTTGATCCCATCAAAGCAACAAGCTTCTGTATCCTTAGATATAAAGAACCCTGGGCAAGGAGGCTTAGCCTCATAAACTGAACAGAAGTTGACTTTAGCCAACAAAGGGATTTATAAAGAAAATGACTTGCCAGTTGTAATCTGTAATTGGGAAATAGTTGTTGCCTTGTTTTTCATATAATTTAGGAAAGGTGAATAGCAGAAATAAGTAAAGGAAGACGTTTAATATAACAGAAAAGGTACTGCCTGTGGGATTGGTCAGACCAAGTGTCCAATCTCAGCTCTGCCAATGACTGCTTGTAGGGTAAGGTGAAAGTATCAGGCTTTTCTGCCCTCCTGCCATTAGGATAGATGAGGGAACCCTGTGGTCCTGAATGCATGCCTGATTGCGGGCACCTGGAGTGGGTACACCTGGGCTGAGAGACTGGGTTTATAAGGGCGGCGTCACGGGGATGCCAGCAGAAGAGGAGAAGTAGAAGCCAAGAAAGAAGCAGGAGAGCAGAGAAGCAGAGAGAAGAAGAGAAGCAGAGAGAATGCCGGAGAGCCCAGAGATAGCAAGGATTTGCTGGGGGCTGGGAGGACTGCCCCCCAGTCCCCCTGCCTGCCTTGTGCCTGGTAAATCTAAATAAAAGACCTGCAAAAGCCACTGAAGACTCTGACTCCTCCTTTACCCGCTCTGCTGGATCACAGAAAACCTGCTCAGTGCCCTGTTCCTGCCCTTACACTGCTATATAACTTTGACCATCTGATTATGTCTCTAACTTTGGCATCTTCGTTTCTAAAATGATAAGCATGAAGGGGCACCAAGGTTCCAGCCTTAAAGGATGAGCTACATCCTGAATGATTTGCTCAGCTCTCAGTCTTACTAGAACAGCCCCTTTGTCCTCTTCACTCCATGCCAACCTCTTCTCACTCCCCAAGTTGGGACCCAGCAAGCCATGGGCACACAAGATAGAGCTGGAGAGGGCATATTCTCTGGGTTGGGCCAATAAGCCCCTTCCCTGGGGAATTAGGAATTAAAAATGAGGGGATGTGGAGCTGCCATATTGTCTTCTCAACACCCCACCCTCCTCCCCCCAAAAAAGAGAAAGATGGCCTGAAATAAGAACTAAAGTGAGGGGGGCTGTCAAGGGCATGAAGTTTCTTTTGGGGCTGACGAAAATATTCTGGAATTGGATAGTGGTCATGGTTATGTTAAACTTCATACAATTTCGGAAATATACTAAAAAATATCAAATTGTACACTCTTGGTGAATTTTAGGGTCTGTACATTATATCTCAATTTTTTAAGTTAAAAAGAAAATAACAGGGAAAGCAAGGCCAGACTTCCTGCTTCTCTACAACCCCACCCATGCCTGCTATCAGATATTGTATCTTACAACAACTTCCTCTATTTGCTTAAGCAAATGGTTTTCATTCACTGGCAAACAAAGGAGCTCCAAGGGAGTTATCCCTAATACTAAATATGATGAATTAACAGCTATAGTTAAAGAAAATAGAAATCTCTTCTTCAATTCAAATTTAAGCCAGAACAGATTCTGGTTTTAAAAACAAAGATGAGGAGAATTCCTATCCCCAACTCTTTGAATGTGCTCCTCAAAACACTAGACTGTCAAATTTCAAAGGGCAATAATATGTCCAAAGTCAAATAAGCAGGTGATGTAATATACTGTAAATCTACTTTTGCAGAATTGCATTACACAATAGCATATTTAAGCTTCTGATAAATTTATCATAGCTCAATAAAGATTTTTCCCATTTAGCCACAAAAACCTTTTCCCTGGTAGCCCACCTATTAATAATTTAGGGGACTGTGCTCCATGGACCAGACTTTGGGAAACGCTGTCCTAACCCAATCAGTGACATGTTCCAGTCATATCTACAGAAACCCACAGGCAACTACCATAATGTTCCCATGCTTAAGAGGACTTTCACTTTATCTCAATACTTCCAAGCAAATAATCTAGATAGCTAAGTTTTTTCCTTAATCATTAAATAGTAAATGTAGTTGTGCTTACTACAGGAATGTCCTTTGAATTAGATAAGATCACTTTTTACATTTGCATTAAGAGGAAAGCAAAGAAACATAATGTGGGGTCCAGTTTCTTCTCCTGGGGCTCAATCCACAGCACGTACCTTAATGTGAAACTCCAGGTTTTCATCCATGGAATAGATGTGGTCAAAGATGTCATGTGCAATCCTGGGGATGATCCCCATGAGCTGAGGGTCATGTAGCTTCCCCTAATGAGGGAAAAACAGAAGAGCTTAAGAGTGCTGCAGGAAAATGTAAGAGACAGGAAGGGGCTGCACCTGGGGCTCATGCCACAGGGAGCACCCACGCAGGGGTGATCTGCCCCTTCAGAGAGCCCCACATGCCTGACAGGACAGCAGAGCAGAGTCAGCAGGAACTGACCTGCTCTCGCCTCCCAGCAGGGGAGCACTTGTTCTGTCAGCACTTGAAACTCTACAGGCTTCCCTCCTGCTACCACTCAGGGCAGGCAATCAGCATGTAATGTGGGTGTGTGGATGGAAAGGGAGGAACAAGGAGAGCAAGTCGACTGAGAAGTTATGGGTACTACACATATGAAATGTTTCTGCTTTTGAATTTTTACAAACTGACCAGAACCAACAAGTCCAAAGGCATCTACTTTAACAAAGTCATCTTGAGAGCTAAGAGCCATAGTTTCATAATGCGTCATTGTTTAAAAATTTCTAAGCAATACCTTTACAATCACTAAAAAATACAACCACGAAAATCTGTTACATCAATCTCTTTTTAAAATCAGTAATTCCCAGCCTGAATCATGAGTTTTGACGGTTTCCAAATGAGTTTTGACCGTTTCCAAAACTTAAACCCACTTGCAAGATATTCTTTCATTGTTTCCAGCCACCTTTTCCCTCTTCTTCCAACTTACTTAAAGGTAGTAGGATAAATGAATTCTGTTATTTGGACCATTACTAAATGCATCATTTTTTAAGATCCAGAATTTGCCACCTCTTAAAAAGACGTTCAAAGACATGTCATAGGATCTGAAAGCAATTTCTAAAGAAGAGTTCTAAAGTATTTAAAGCAAAGGTCTTCCCATGGACCTAAATACACCATTTCCAGGGCCTTCTTTATACCCACACTCAAATAAATACTGAAGTTCTGTTATGTGTTAAACAACCCATCAGAGCACACAGGCACACACACTCACACATGCAGTCTGCATGTCCTAAGGGATCAGCAAATATATTCTCAGAGAAACTTCCAGCTTTTTAGGACATTGTAAAACTCCAGGAACAAATGGAACTGAAAGAATGACAGAAAGCCCAGTTTACCCTTTAATCTTCCAGGGATGCCCAACAACCTTTATGGTTTTGACTCAAGTCTTTATCCCTAATCTGCCCCAATACCTGGAAGGTCTGCCTTGTTTTCCCCAATCAAATCTGTTCTCCTTCAGGGGCTCACCACAGAATGCCTCCTTGACAAATTGATTTTTGAGCCAATGTTTGTGTTATCAAAAGCAAGAATTCACATGAACCCTGGTGCTAACTACAGGCCACAAGCAGTTTACGTTACAAACCCTTCTTCACATACCTGATTCCTGAACATCTATTAAAAGCAAGAGAAAAGGTGAATTTAGATACATCTGGACTCCAGCAAAACTCCCTCTCCTGGGAAAGTGGGTAGTCCTGTAGAGTGCCCCCATCTGCATGAAGCCCCAATCACTGGACATGTTTATAGTGATTTTAGTTTGACTGCATATTCCCTAAGGTAGGGGCGGCCAGTGCATATGCATTTTGCCCACTGCCTATGACATTTAGTATCTTATCTACTGCATAGAGTTGTTGTAGAATATAAATTAAATGGTATATGCAATGTGCTTAGTCACAGTAAATTAATATTCTGTTATTCAGTTCATAACAGGTTTTCATTAAGCAGCTCAGATTATTAACATATAGCACCAAAATGACTGAGACTGAGTCTCAAATATTAGTAACTTTACTTCTCATGGACCAACATAAACATGCAACAACTCAAACACTGTGGTCCATGGGCTCTGGATTGTGGAAATTGCTGGCAGAAATGATACCCAGTGAAAACAGATCTCTGTCCAGTCAAGTGTGGTGACACCACTGGATAATTCAACCCACTCTGTTCCCCATCCACCTCTCCAGAGCTCTTTTTTTTTTTAAGATTTATTTATGTATGCATACAAAAGCTGGGGTGTAGGTCAGAGGTGGGCGGGGGAGGAGTGCGAGGATTCACAAGAGACAGAATGGGGAGCAGAATAGGCAGATCTGCTGAAATACACTGCTGCAGCAGGTGAGAAGGAGAGGTCTGCGGGATGGAACTCATGCCTCAGGGGGATAGAGCTGAGATTTAACCCCTGTGCCACTAGGGAGGCCCAGCACTCTTTAATAATTCATCACAATCCTTTTGCTTCCTCAGTAGCCCAGGGCCAAAGAATGACTGATAATCCAAAATCATTAAAATTGACTTTAATCTGTTTCCTTAGATGCTTTCATTTCAGCAGATCTATCTTCCAATTGATTGATGGCATCCATAAGTACTGACCACCTTTGTCTGCTTTTGTTAGGAGAGGAACCAAGGCATAACTAGGGGAGAATCTAGACACTCCCTGCTTTGTTTCCTGAAAGCAACTACCCCAACTACCTCGTATGAGAGCAAGCAAATGTTCATTTGGGGAAGGGAAAATCACACCCCCATACCCATGGTAACAAAAGTGAGAGCTAAATCTATCGCAGGATTAGGGGCTACATGCTTGATCTAGCTCACAGGCTCAACAGTGTTAGGGTGTTTATGCTCAGTAAACTAAGCTTGCAAAACTATCAATGTGTGCATATGCATGTATATGTGTTTGTGTGTGTGTGGCATGTCTGTCACATGGATGTGTATAGTATTGATGGGTCTGGTGTGGAAGGTGTTGTGTGCGGTGTCTGTGTTGATGTGCATGGCATAGGGTGCGTGATATGGATATGTGTGGTACTGCAATGTGTAATGTGGGGTGTATGCTATGGATGTGTGGTGTGGTATGGATGAGTACAACATGTGTTGTGTATGTTGATTCTTCTGATGAGGGTGTGGTGGGGGACGGGAGGTAAGTGTGTATGAGTGTGTATGAAGGTCTTCACTGCTATGTTGCTCACCTTTGCAAATGAAATACACATATACATATACACAATACACAGTCCCCTCAGGCAATGAAAAGAAGTAAAGTCACAAATTCAGAGAACCGAAAAATCCCTTCTAACATGGGATGGCTTCCTAGAGGGACACCAAATCTTGAGGGATGAGTAAGATTAAGCTGAACAAAGAGGATGCAGGCAGAGAAGATGAAAGCAGAGTAACAAAGGCACAGGAACTGGGAAAGAACAATGCCCATTTAGAGAATAAGGACAAGTCTAGTTGGCTGGAGGATGAGAATGGACTTAAGTAGCAAAAAGGTGCACCACTTCATCATCTTGCTTCTTTTATCTTTGCATCCCATACAATGCTCTTCAGAAACTTTCCTGCCTGTGAATGTGGACTTCTAGGAGTGCATATGAAAGAAACCAGACCGGGCCACTGATCACTGAACACCCTTTCTTGTAGCCACAGTTGCCTCCTCCTACCTCCTAAGCAGTACAGTCTCCTGATGGGAAAGCAGATGACCTGTCAGCTCACAGGAGCACCAATGCATTAAAAAGCCTTCACTGGTTTGGCTGGTGAGGGAAGAAGGTTTAGAGGATGGGGAGCTTGCACACTTCAGATGGCGCCCAGGTGTCCCTTTGGGCAGAAGGAAAAACATGCATCTCTCTCTCCCTGTCTATCTGCATGAATTTGCTGAAATGGCCCACAAAGTGAGGGAAAGGGCTTGGGCAAGCCCAGCCCAGCTTCACTCACTGCGCAATGGCCAGCTCCCCCAGCTTCCGTCCTCTAGCCAGGCCCGTGAGCAATGTCCACACGATCCCTGGGCCCAGTTGCAACCATGTCCTGCCAGGCTTAGCATCAACACTGTTGAGTGTTTCATATTTTCACTGAAAATCTGCCTTAAATGCTCCATCTTCAAAAGCTAATCTTTCCAATTTTAGGTAGGCTTATCTGTTTGTTCCCCTCAATAGAAGGTAATGGAATCACCACTGGATGTCAGACCAAAAATGGAGGATTAAAATGAAAAACAGCTTTAAAATGTGACAGCTCTGTCCATTCAGAGTTAACATCCCCTTCTAAAAGCCTTTGAAAATCACAATGTGTAATTCCGAATACATAAAATCCTCCCTTTAGAGGGTGTAAGCTCCACAGGGTTTTTTAAATTTAATTGCATTCCAGGGTCCTGTATTTCTTGGTCTCCTACAGTCTCTATAACTTCAGCTTGGGGTTCTGCCTTTCCTCTGATTTCCTCTAAAATATCCCCTACCTTTTCTGCAATCTATAAATACCCTACAGAAAGACCATATTAAGTAGGGGGGAGCACCCCAGGGAAAGCTCTTCCTGCACCCACATCTCTAAGTGCACAATCTTCAAAAGTCACAATAAGGAAATACTCATTATAATCAATGAGTCCCCTGGGTAGAAGTACTGCTATGGGCATTGTGGAGGGTACCTGGTGAGGCAGAGGGGCTCCAGATGACCTCATTGAACAAAACGCCTCCAAGTATAATTTTCACAAGTTGGCACACCTCTTTGCCATCTCCTTACACCCACCCATTCACCAAACACAAAGATTTTACTCTAGGAACAGGCCTCTCATTTGATGGTTCACAATTTAAACACCGGATGTTTAGCTGATACCGTGTAATTCTCAAAGATGAATTAATCCCAATGCTAAAAAGGTCACTCTTGTAAGGATTCACTTAGATTTTGGAGAATTTCAAATACTGCTATTTTTGTTCTTATTGTATATATTGTTTGACAATTTTCCAAAGACCTAGAGACTGACAGAAACCCTCATGGGATACTGTCTATCCCTTATAACCCCTGAAGGGGTTTTTGTCCATGGCTAGTGGAGTGGTTGGGACACAGTAAATGTGTAATTGCAACTTTTCTAGCACCTAGAAGGTTAAGGATCTAGGGCCCAGTAAGAAAGGCAGGTGAGGGGCCTCCCTGGTGGCGCAAGGGGTTAAGCGTCAGCACTATGAAGCTACCCTGCAGCCACTGCAGCCTGAGTTCGATCCCCGGCCAGGGAGGTGCGGACCCACATGGTGCAGCAGATCTCTTCTGTCTTGCCCACTGCTCCACCCAGCAGTGTATTTCAGTCAATCCGCTTGTTTTGTCGCCCATTCTGTCTGGTGAATCCTCTCACATCCCTCCCCACTCGCCCTCCACCCCTGCCATCTCTGGCCTACACCCCAGCTCTTGTATACATATGTTTCTTTTAAAAAAGAGAGAGGCAGGTGAGTGGCGGGAGCAGGAGTGTGGGGACTCCTGTGGCAGTTTCCAAGGTGAATGCAGTAGGATGTGAGATGCAAGCAAGAGGGGCCAATAACACTCAGGTGTCAGGGGAATAGTCCTTTGGTCTAGAAGAGGTGGCAAACAAACCTGGCACTTCCTTTCATCTGTGCAGTCTCTGAACCACTTTGTCTCCAACAAAATGAGTGAGTCAACACAACAGAAATGAGACCCCCCAGAGTGGCACCCCACACTTGAAATCAGTGTGAGCAGAACATCAGAGCCCTGAGGATTTTAGCCTTGTGCCTTTGAAATCTCTTCTTCAATAGGAATGATTCATAAGTTAAAGTGAGTCTGTAGCTGCCATCACAAGCATAGTCCCAGGGGGCACCATCAACGAAAACACTAAATTCAAGGGATCAAGGATTTGTCTTACTCTGCTATTTATCAGCTGAATTCCCCAACCATCCTCTGTGCAGTTTCTTGTAATAACCAACCTTACACCTCTCCTCACCTGTCAGGTGAGCTCACCTGACAGAATTAGCCAGCCTTGCAGGCCATATAGGCATCCATGATTAAAAAGGCAGGAAAAGAATAGGTAAAGGAGGTCAATTCAGTCGGCAGAGTGGCTTTATCTGGAAGACAGCCTGGAGCACAGAGCTCCACAGCCAACAATCTGAGCTGGGGTGACACCCTCAAGTGCCCACAGGGGACAGATGTGCAGGTTAATGAGGGAAGGTGTGGAATATAGGTTCATATTTGTTCAGGGTATATACATGGAGTGGACTGGGTCTGCCAAACAGACAAATATGAAAAATTGCATCTCAATATAGTTTTTATTTTCTCTTTATTAATAATCCCCCAAATTCATTTTTTTTAGTAAATTTTGTACTGAAATACCATTGGTTTACATAGTTGTTACATCGGCAGCGTAGGTGTACTCACCATAGCACTCCCACCACCAAAGCACCCAAAGTCCTCTACCATAGCCCAATGTGCTCCCTCCCCATCTTCTTGCCACCCATGCCAATTTTTCAGCTGAAATTTATTTGGATAGTGCTATCAACAAGGCTTTTTTTTTAATATGGAACTCCCAAGATTTTATTACGCACCTCTATTTTAAAACTCCCCAAGGATGCCAAAATTGGCCAAACATAACCCCTTAACCACCTCTATCACCAGTAAAAAGGCCACATGCACCAAGTGTCACTGGCGGCAGATCAGTTCATCGCAAAAACTGACACACTCGCCGCAATCTTACCTCCATGGTGTGCGTTTTTCCTGATGAAGTCTGTCCATATGCAAAAATCGTCCCATTATAGCCTTCAAGGACATCTTCAAGGAAGCAGAAAAAAATGAACTCATTACTTTGATCATGTGCTAGCATTGGTTGCATATTTTAAAATTACATTTCCAAATGGTTCATCTCATTTTTCACACAAATGACATATTTCAACCCCATTTGCATTTTAAGTAGAATGGTGAGATAAAAGCAGACATGAGGGCCTCCACGGGTCCACAAATAGAAATGGACTCACAATCCTACAGAAAATATTAATGAAGAAGGCAATGCATTTTCTCCCTGTAACATGAAAATTAAGAACAGCATACTTTTTTTAGTTAAAAAAAAAGTACTTGAGTTTCCTTCTATAAATTAATCTCTTGAAATCAAAAGGGGAAAGGGAAGGGAGAGGATAGCATCAGTCCATCAGTCTGCAGGGAGCAATAGTAAAGACTTCCTCTCCCGAAGCTCTGACTTGGGTCCTTTTTTTTTTTTTTTTTTTTTTTTAGGCATGTTTTATTTATTTGTTTGTTTGTTTGTTTTTGTTTATACATGCACTGGGTACAGTCAGAAGCGCGGGAGGGTAAGAGAATTCACCAGAGCCAGAGCGGGGAGCAGAGCAGGCAGAAGGACTGAAGTACACTGCTGAGGGGAGCAGCGGGCAGCAGGAGAGGTCTGCGCGCCATGTGGGACCCTCCTCAGGTGGCCAGGGAGCAGCCGGGGATCGAACCGGCGCCGCAGAGGTCGCCGGCAGCTTCGCAACCCAGCGCTCAACCACTGCGCCACCGGGGAGGCCCTGACTTGGGTCCTTTTAAACGCTGGCCAGGGGACCTCATGGAGGTGGCTTCCAGTGATGTTCACACTAGGCCCCTGCAGATGGGGGTCCAGTGAGGGTAGGGTGGACAGGGCTCCAGTCTATATACTGTGCCACCACAATCAGCCCAGGAACCGGTGAAGCCTTGACTCAAAGTTAATGCCTGTTTTTGTTTTTGTTTTTTTCAGTGATTGTACTAGCAAGACGCCCTAGGCCCATCAGCATCAGGATTTCTTTCAACTGCACAATGGGCATACAGTGTACACCCCTCTCCCACTTCACACAGGGAGGATGGGTGACTTATGGATGGAGGCTGCTCTTTGCTGAAGATTATCTGGGGGAATTCTTTCAAGCAGCAAAAGTAATTAAAATATATTTAGCACTCGTTTCCCTTCTGCTTTCCCAGAACCCTCCTTCATCCACAGAACTATCACCAAAAGGGGAATAATACGTAATTAATACCCTTGACCCACCATCTCTGCATACGGAGTGGAAATCTTCATTCCTGTAAAAATGTGGGGTTGGGAGAAGGACCCCACACTGAGATGTCCAAGTCAGACAACCTGCTCCATCTATTTCAGGCCCTAATGTTTCTTTGATTTGGTCCCTAAATTTTCTGATGCTGGTTAGTTTTTGCTGTTTTGTTGCATTTTGTAAACAAATTTTTAATATACATCCTACTGATCTGAGGCTGCTAGAGTATAAGTCAGGATCAGAAAAGAAAGTGGGATTTTCCTTTAGGAAGCTAAAAAAAGAAAAGCTAAGTGACAGGATTTTTTTTAATCCCAGCAGCCCTCAAGAGATTTCGTCAAGCTATATTGAGAGAGAGAGAATGTTCACACATATCAGACTTCTGGTAATGGTTTCCCAGGCAACAAGGGAAGCAGAAACTTGAAGATGGTTCTAGGGGTTGGAGGTTCAGGCCTCAGCGTTCATGAAAATGCCAACTTGGTTGAAAAAAAGACTCGTCGAGCCTGAAATGGTGGCCAGAGCGGAGTGCCTTGACATGATTGTGAACACGGTATGTGCCCTGAGGGACCCACAGAAAGCAGGCTCCCACCTCCCGTGGCACTTTTGATATTCTATAGGCATGGCCAAAATCCTGGCCACAATCACAGCACTAAAGCTTCTATTTATTGGATTAAACATCTCCCCTCAAACTGCAAGGGTTTCCTCGCCTTCAGCCCCAGCACAAGAAGCATGCTGAGACCAGAGCCTATGAACTAAAACAGGGGTAAGGACCCCAAGGGCCCAGCAACCTCTGCTCCTTGTAATGTGCACATGCCCCAGGAGGTGGCTCTGAGCAACCCGACACACCTAAAAGGAACTCAGCTCAGAGCTGGAGTCCAGCTGACAGGAGAAAACCCGCACAAGCTTCTCCCTCACCCAGGAAGCAGTGGGTCAGAGTCTCTGAATTAGGATGCTTTACACGGTCCCAAGTCCACTCCATCCCCCTGCACTCTCTCTCACGAAGCAGGACACACAATCCAAGTAACTCCTGCCTGGCCACTGCTTATCCTGGGGGCTCAAAGGACTGGGTGAGGCAGACAGCGGATCAGGGGGCTGTACTAGAAGAATCCCTGATTATTTATGGCTGCCATTTCAACATTGAATACAACTACTTTAAAAAAAAAAAAAAGAGAGAGAGAATAGATAAAACCCTACTCAAATAAATTCCCTTTGGTGTTTAAAGCATTTAATCACATTATAATTAAAACACTGTTGGAGAACCCTCTCTCCTGCTCGGGGTTGAACAGAGCTGATGCCACCCTCTGTCCATGATGCAATTATGATTAGAAAGTAATTTTAAGAGAAAAGAAAAGCTCTTGGAACCCAGTGTTCCCAATTTTCTTCTTTTGTTTATTAGCCTACATTTGATTACGGTAGAGGAAAAAGGGAAGGAGGAGACCCAAGTACAATCTGTGAATCCTGAGGTTGGGCCTCTGAGATGACAAGGGCAGGACTCAAGAAGCCAAGGAAAGAAGTGAGGACAGGACTGCACTCAGCACGGCGCAGACACACGGCCTCCCCGCCCGACTCCAACAGAAACAGCCCACAAAAAGGCACTTTCATCACGGTAAATGACAGTTCCTGGGCTGGAGGAAAGCATTTGTTTCACAGTCTCTGCCGTAACAAAATGACTATATATGCATGCCAGCCATGCAGCAGGGAACAGGCACAGTCAGACAGAACCTCTCTTTGTGACGGGGCCTGGAGTGATGTGATCTCAGCTCAACCACGCCGTCAGCAGCACCCCACACACACAGCACACAGCCATCCAGCTGCCAAGCAAACCCAATGGCAGACTCCACAGCAAGTGGGAAGAGACTTCTCATCTTCCAAGAGGGGGAGATGAGGGGACATTTAGTGAGAACACTCCTTGTCTGGTTGCGGACTTCAGAAGCCAGAAGTTAAGTGTTTTGTCCTGGATTTTGCTAGTTCTGCATCTAGGTCCTACCAGAACAGAAGAGTTAGTTCCATTGTCAGGTAAGAATTGGGGGGATGTAATCAGACCTACACGTCACTGTTCCGAAGGAGGCTGCCGCACCTCCTACCAACTCTCCAGGTGAGATGGTGGCTGTTAGTCATTCCTGGCTTGGAATCTTAAGGCTCTTGCCAGCTGACCAAACTGTTCAATAGACCATGTCTAGAGAATATAGAGACAGTTCTGCTAAATACCAGAATGCTGGGCCCAGGCAGTCTAAAGGGCAGCCACCATGCATGCCCAGGTGAGAGATGGCACACTACAGACAAATGGAAGCAGGAAAATTCAGTCAGACAAACTCAGACTTGGGTTTCAGCCTCACTATCCATTAACGGACCTGGCTAAGTTACTTCACATCAAATTCCTTTGTAATATATGGGAATAAAGCTCATACTTCATCAAGTTAAGATTTAAAACATAATAACATAAATGTAAAGTGTGTAGAGGATACCTGTCAGATAATAGCAGCTAAGTAAACGTTTGTCTTAAAAATCATATAAAATATAATAATAAAGTATATCTAATAGTATCCAAAGTTTAATACTCTTCAATGGGCTCACATTGCTTGTAGAATTAATCCCATCAATTTCCATCAAACACTGATGCTGCCTAACTTGAAGACTGTCCCCGAGCACCCTGTACCACTGCAAGTTGCCCAAACATACCATCTTTATGCTTTTGCTTCTGCTTGTACAGTCCTGCTATATTCTACAGTCAGCAGGACCCAGCCTTCCCAAGAAACCTGTTTCCTCTCTCCACCCATCAAGATCAGTATCCAGTGACTTTTTCCTGTGCCCCCATAGCATTGCGCAGGCCTGCCTTAAGCACATGTGTAATTACATGGTAATTACCGGGTCACCTGCCTCTCTCCCTCAACTCAAAGCTTCTTGCAGAGTCTCACAGATTTTGATGACACCAGTCCCTAGCAGTGCTTAACCCCTGGTAAATACTTAATATACTTGCATAAAAGAAAAAATGATAGAAGCAACCATATGTGAGAATTTTAAAGAGATAAGAACTAGAAAACATCAAACCACTTTCTCAAGCACTGGAGAGTCTATATCTAGTTAATCTGGAAGGCAAATGCCCAGACTGGCTTCTACAGATGGGGACACAGTTACTAATACTTCAGCAGAAGCCACCTGTCACCATGGTTTTTAATTCCTAGGATGTCTACAGGAGCCTTCCTGTTTACCATGCTGAGACTATAACCTCTTCTAGAAGAAATGGAGAATTCTACATAGTCTTTCAGATATTTTGAAAAACACACACCAAATGTGAGGGTATGGGAGATGCTAGGACTCTAGAATAAAGTATTTGTAAATTTTTTCAAGCCAATGAAATTGAAGGGAATGAAAACACAGAGAGAATAAAGGCATCCATTTAAAAGGAGTCTTCCTGATCTCAAAAAACATACGTCTTGAAAAGAAAGCTCACCAGAGCACCACAATCCCGTGAATCACAGGTTCTTCACTGATCTTCAAATTTACGATTCAATCCTTGGCCTCTAGAAAAAACGGCCCCTGGAGCACCACCTCCCTTTCCTGATTAAAATAAGGCTTCTCATACTAGATATCTCAGCTACAAGTGGTGCCTATTCCAGGGTGTTCTTTTATCAGTCTACATTTACTGACACAGAATCAATAGGGCCATTTCCTCTCATGTAGCTTCAGTGAATATTCAGTGAATATTTTAAAGAGTTAAGTCAGATCTTCACCATACCCTAATAATTTACTTGCAAGGGAAAATGAAGTACTCTCTATTGTTACAAAATGAGTAAGCTCATATTACATTTATGGTGCCTGGAAGATGTGTGTTTATTGTTGCAGAGCCTAATTATATTCTCAATGCTTTTCTTTGTGGCTCATCACATAGTAGGTCTCAATTTATCCACGACTAGGTCACATCTTCATGAGATCTGCCCAGCTACTGCCTATTTCTGACATTCCACACCGCAGAAAAACACAAGCACTGAAAGAGACCTATACTTTCTAGTGAATAAAGATTCAAAGATTATTATTATTGCTTGCTAATCACAGGATTTTTAAAAATGGAGTGCATCCATCTCTAATTACAACATCAACTCAGAGAGGGTAGGATGTATTTAAATGGCTTTCATGCTTAGCCCAGCATGTGGCAAATACTATTTAGTTCTGTTAATGAAGGGGGAGAGGAAAAAAAGGAAATCCTGCCTCATGTGTGATTAATCTTACTTTAATAAAAATATGAAGGAGTCTGATAACAAAAGAGGGAATGGGGTTGACTACGAGCAAATTAGAACTGCACATGCCAAACAGGGAGGAAAACATTTAGATAGAGAAGCAAAAGGACAGAAGTAGAGAGAATACAATTGCCACAGGAAACATGTCATTAATTCAAAAACAGCTCAAATTCAGGCATTTTTCTCTCTTCAGTTTTCTATAATAATCTTACTGCGAAGACCTTCAAAATTAATTGATGTCTGCAACCAGAATGTGAATAACCATACATCTCAGCAAGGAACATCAGATGCTGACGGGAGTCTCCCACGCAGGTGTCCAGGGTCAGAATTAATCTAACAGATGTACCCAGGGCTGATTTTCATGAATTTCAAATAGGTTAGTCAGCTCAGCTTTTAAAAACCAGCAGAACTAACATGGTAAGGTGTTTTTGGGTTTTGTTTTGGGTTTTTTAATTTTTGGTTTTGTTTTCTCTTTTTTCTCTTTAAATCCAGAGCTGCCTATAGAGGTGGCAGCATCAAAACATTTAAAAGGACAATGCCACGGCATTCAAATTTGGAGTCAAGGATTTGATGATGAAAAGCAAAGTAGCTTGCGCTGCCCCTCAGGTCTGTCCAGATGGCGTGCACCCCCCCAAGGCAAGCTCTACCCTGCCCCTGATTTGAAAGGGCAGGGTAGAGCATCGTGTAAATTGTTTCATCTCCCTGCTGTTATTTTGACACAAATCCTGCAGGGCCAAGGCCAGTCCAGAGATCCAGGACGGATCTCTAAGGCACATTTTAGGCTTCAGGCTACCTATACGGAGAAACAAATGTCGGAATTTGAGTGGGATGGTTTGAAAGTGGGTTAGATGAAAGGATGATTAAGTAGGTCTACATAACAAGAGCCACTTAATAATAACAAGGTAACGTGATTTAATGATGTGGTAGAAAATTCCTTGATACCCAAGAATTTTCCACATATATGGTTTCTTTGTGAAGAGACAGATGCACAACACACATCACCCAAAAATACACAAGTGGAGCACTGGGAATATGTATTTTTCTCCTTCAAAGGAAAAAGTAGTTCCTGCACCTGCGGCAGTATTTTAAAACCACTACAGAAACAATGGAGCCATAGCTTGCCTTGCTTTTAAGCTTCAAGGTGACAAAATAGCTCTGCCAAAATGGTGGCAAAAGAAATAAAGAAATCTTGGAAAGGAGGTATAGAGAGGTTAAATAACTTGTTTGGCATCATAGCAAATCAGGGGCAGAGCGCGAACTATAATTCAGCATTTCCAATTAGCAGGCCTCTGCTTATAGTCAAGGCACATTGATTCCTACGTTGCAAATATCACTTAACGTTTTCAATTACTCTGAAAGACTCAGGAGGAAATAAAGAAATAGCACTTACCTTTGACAATTTGCTTTGCACACGCATTGTAAACCTGCTCTTGGGTCGTGCTGGGAGGCAGCACTCTGTCAAAGACATATGGCTTCCCTTGCTAAAAAAGAAAGACAAAAGAAAGAAAAAGGTGGAGGAAACACATTAGAAGTTTAGGAACAAAAAGCACTAATATTAGTAGTTAGACCACTACTGGCACTAAATCAACAATCCTGTTCTTTGAGGCAGATTCTTTCCAAGACCAGGTAATTTTTACAGCCTGGCCACACACATGCATTTGTGTATGTACATTGCATGTTAAGAATCTGGGAGAACAAAGAAAGTTTGTGTTTGTTTTTTTTTTTTTAACTTGAAACACTTTTCCTGACAGAAGATGGGTAGACAGTCCATTCTTTCATTTGAACAAACATTTACTTACTGAGAGCTTACACTGAGACAGGCACTAGGATAGATGTTAACCTCATCAGAAAACACTCCTGTACCTATAAAGCATTTAATCAAGTATGACACAGCTAATAAGCAAGAAAGCAAACACACAGGACAATGCAAAATACCTAGGTATGAAATAATGGGACAAAAAGGATGAAAGAAAGTGCAAAGAAAGCCCCAGTGAACAAGTACCTCTGGGTCTTTGCAGGGTCAGAAAGACTGAGGTACATAAGGAGCAGAGAACATTTCAGGGGATGGTACAAGAGGAAGTGGGAAGGGGAAGCTGGAGCCAGTTCTTGGAGAGTGCTGTTAGCTGAGATACTGTGCTTAGATTTCATTCAATAGGAAGGTGACATGATCAGATTTACAGAGCTGCTCTTATTAGCAAGATATTATTACTTTTTGTTGCAAAAAAAATCTAGTGATTTCTTCCATGCAAAGTGGTGCCTTAACTGGGTCAAGGCTTCTGAGACAAAGGAGACCCTCTTATATTGTCAATCAAGTGATTTCCCAAGCATAGGTTCTGGGATTTTGTTAATGCTGGCCTGGGTGTGATGCAAGGAGGTAGCCGTCCAAGAAGAGATGTTCTGTCACAGTGCTACAGGAGCCCACATGCTCAGTGCTCAGCAAGGAGTTAATTTGGCATCATGTGCTAGGGACGGCACTGAGTCCTGGGGAAGGTGGAGGGTAAGACAGACACAGCCTCTTCCCTGGAAGAGCCTCTACAAAAACCACCCAAGGATGGGGGAGGTGGTCTTCTCCCTGCCCCTTCCCATAACTCCATCCACCCAAGTGGTCCTTGATCTTCCTTTCCCCTGAGTGACAGAGGGGAGGACAGAAGAGAAGGAAGTAATGAGGAGAGTTCACATCTCCTTCCCCAGGACCCTGTACCTCCTCCTGGTGGTTCTGGACACCAGGAAACACCCAAGGACAGTCTGACAACTCAAAAAGATAGAACTACTCATGCGGGACCCAAGGACAAGGTTTGTTACATCCTATAATGTTCACATAAAAGTGTGTACACAGCTGTCAGACTGGCTTATTATTTATCACATATGACCACACTGGAGCTGCACATATATAAGGTCCTATGTAGCAGGTCTGAGCTGTAGCTTCTGAAAATAGGTTTGAGTCAGTCAGGTAAATGAACTACCTCCAATTTGGTCATAGCAAAGAATGGAGGATTTTTAGGTACCATAACATTTTGTTTTTATAAAAAGCAGCAAAGGGCCTCTCTGGTGGTGCAAGGGGTTAAGATGCAACCTATGAAGCTATCCGCAGCCACTGCAGCAAGTTTGATCCCCTGCCAGGGAGCTACCCACATGTTGCAGCAGACCTCTCCTGACTCGCCCACTGCTCCCCTCAGCATTGTATTTCAGTCTGCCTGTTCTGCTCCCCACTCTGTCTCTGGTAAATCCTCTCACCCCCCCAAACCTCTGGCCTGTACCCCAGTTCTTCTATGAATAAGTAATCTTTTTAAAAAATAAATAAATAAAAAGTAGCAAAAGCAGAGTCATTCTGTTAAAATGACAGAAAGGGGTTATCTTTTGAAATTTCATTCCCAGTAAGTCTCCTTCAATTAGTGAACCAAATGTTTGACTGAATAAACAAGAGAATATTCCTCGCCACAATCTATTGCCAACTACCAGGCCACCCACTTCATCCTTATTAGCTTCATCTATTTGTAAAATTCAACTGAAATGTCAGTAGGGTAAAAGGTAAGAATAAACATTTACAGAATTTTCCTAAGTATTTGTCATCTATTGGACCTTCTGGAAAGAAAATGAGCTTTGCTTGATTTTTAAAAATCCACTATTTTTACAAACTTGATGATAATTAGCAAAATAAGCCATCTTGTTTACAATATGATCTGCTTTGGTTTTCAGAGAAAATGTACTTAGTACACTAGAAAAAAATGACCTGTTTGGATAGTACATAAAAGGTAAGATTTCCAAATTTTGCCTTTTGATTTAAAATGTCTATTGGAGTATATTGCATGTATCCTCGCTTTAAGAGAAGTAGCAGGAAATCACTACTCATTTAAATCACTACTCATTTAAATGATCTCATCTGTCAAATGACAGATAATACAACAATTTTCTATAACCTGAAGTTAACTCCCAAATAGAAGCTGCCTTCAAGAAAAGATAAAATTTAGAAAATGATTTGTTATGAGACCTACCTTGTCATGATTAACACATTAGTAGTTAAAAATATAAGCATTTTTATGTATCCTCTCATGCACTGCATTGGTTATAGGTTTATTTTAGATGAACCTGAAAGCCTTAGAATTTAGAATTAGTATTTAGGTATGGTTATTTTCAAAGAACTGACTAGTGACATAGCCGTGCCAGTTGTGCATACGACTGCCAATAAAACAACAACAAACTCATTTCTTTGCTGCATTGGTAATGGTATGAGAGTCTCAAAAGTCCTGACTGACACTTGGTCAAGAGCAGTCTCCCACGGCCTCCAAGGAGACAAAAGTCTCCCTGTTTGTGATGCCACTGTGGCTGAGTTTCTGAGGCCTGGGCAGGCATAGAGCCCAGCTTGCTATAGTTGTTACTAAATTTGCAGCTATGGAATAAACTTTTGGAATTACATTTCAACATGGACACTGTGTACTAACACTTGAAACTAAATGATGAGGACACCTTCCTTTCCAGGCATGTGGTTCTCTCTGATCTCTCTGGCTGCTCTCTATCAGCATCCTTTGCTGCTGTTGCTTCTAGACTTCTAAATGAAGTTATGTCTTGGTCACTGACCTCAGTGTCTTCTCCATCAACACTCTTGACCTTCAGGTAGTTTATTTGAACATTTCAGCCTTCACCTCCAAATGGGCTCCAGATTCACATATTTATTACCTGTTAGAGATTTCCACTTGGAGATCCTTTTGCCGTCTCAAAACTTAACCAGCCAAAAAGCACTACCAAGCCTTCTATATTGGAGTAAGAACCAAACCACCAAACAGCCAGTTATGCAGACCATAACTATTCATAATGGACTGTAGTTTTCATACCCAAATTCTATGCCTTCACGTCATCTATGCATACATCCTTAAACCAAGCCTCCATCATTTCTCTTCTGGACAGCAGTGATAGCCTTCTGATTTCCCTTTCTCCATTCCTCCATCACATCACCCTATTAGGTTTGCTCCATAATGATGACTATGTGAACTATTCTCAACCATTCAAAGGGACCTTTACAATTAAACCACTTAACCATTACAATAGGAGCCCAAGACCTAAGTGCATATGGATGAATCCGTATCTGCGAGTTATAAAGGAGATCTCGATGGGACACATACACTCCACACACAAATGAAAGTGAAATAACCCAGCTTTGCCCTGGAAGCCATGTTGAGCAGTGCTAATTGCTTTGGAGCAGCGTAACTAAATAACTTACCAGGATCACCTACAAAAAAATAACAGCAGATGGTGCTTACATTTTTACAGTTAAATTAAAAAAAAAAAATTCAAACCAGCAGAATTTCTATCAAGTTGTTGAGAGCAAAGTGTCTATGAACCATATGGCCTGCCTATTAATACATTTGACCTGTTACCCAACAACTGTTCTCCAGCATGGGAGGAATATTACTCTGGGAGAGAGAGGAAAGCAAAAGACCTACTTAAAGGTTTAGAGGATGGGCATCAGCAGGGATGTTAAGGAAAATGAAATTAATTATCACCATGAAGAGATAATCAAAAAGTAAAGTAATAAAATCTCTAAGACCAACCAAAAGTTGTGATCAAAAACTGGCAATGATTTGAATGATTTTCTTCTTTGGTTACTAAGGAAAAAAGACTAATCCTCATAGCAATATTTAAACTCACTCTATGGAATTTTCTTCAGATGCTGAGTTGTATAGGAAGAGAATCGATGACTAAGACCAATCATTAACTAACTCTCTGTCATGTGTATTTATGTGACTTCATTACTGAAAGTCCAAAAGACAAAGAGTTCTTTCAGCTTATGCTGACCACCTTCTCACCACTGTCCACCAACATCATCATCAGCCACTATGATCCAAGTGCTTTGTTTTTTTGGGTTTTTTTTTAAGATTTTATTTATTTATTTATACAAGCACTGGGTACAGACAGAAGCGAGGGAGGGTGAGAGAATTCACCAGAGCCAGAGCAGGGAACAGAACAGGCAGACCAACGAAATACACTGCTGAGGGGAGCAGCGGGCGGCAGGAGAGGTTCGTGCGCCATGTGGGATCGAACTGGCGCTGCAGAGGCTGCATCCCAGAGCTCAACCGCTGTGCCACTGAGGAGGCCCAAGTGCTTTGTTTTATCTCATTTAACTCTCATAGTAACCCCTCCCCCCATTTCACAAACTGGAAAACTGAGGCCCAGTCACATTATCATCTCTCTCACTTTAAGGCTCTGATTTCAAGTGATCTTCCTTTACTCCATGCTGTTTTCCTAAGTGGTTTATGCTGTTTTCCTTAGTGGAAAAGCAGGAGACATATAAAACAGCAGACACTAACACTAATATGAAAGACTAGAGCAAAGAGTTTAATGAGGTAACCAAAGACAGAGACCCCTTACTGCCTACAGCAGTCAATAAGCTATGAAGGTCAGGCTGACATGAAACCACTGAGGAAAGAGTGACTTGCAATCTGGGAAGGGCAAAACCATCAAGGAAAATGTGGGCAGGCATATGGCAAGTCTTCAACAGAATCAACGAAGGCTGATCAGAGGCTAGGATGGAGGGCTTGCTATGAAAAGTTGAAGTCATTTAATAAAACTTACAGAATTTTTCAGAGCCAAAAGTTCCTTCAAGTTCACCCCAATCCAACACAGTTTTTACCAAAAAAAAAAAACAAAAAAAAAAAAACCACCACACACACACACACCAAAACTTGAGATAAGAAGGGGTTGATTACTTGCAAAAAAGTCACCCAGACAACTGGTAGGTAGCAGACCTATAGGGTCGAGACCTCCTGGCTCCCTATCAACTTTTCTAAAGTTTCTCTTTAAAATCACTTGCCCTCTCAGAACATAAATGAAGCAAGTATACCCCTCAGGTTCTTTTCTCTTCCACTTTCCTTCCAATCAATTCTAAATTATTTCCAAATAGACTATTGATTAGTTAAATAAACAAAGAGTTGCTGCTATAAAGACTTTAAGTAATACAGCAGGAGACTTGGAATCACACCCTCTGAGTTACTATGAACATGAACTTCAGAGTCAGTCAGTCCAAGCTCCTCTCAATGCACATGTCTCCATAAGTTCTAATAGGCAACAGCAAACCTGTTCACAATTCAATTAGATAGAAAGTTGTGTCCTGGTACTGCTTTAAATCTGCCTCCTTTAAGGATCAGACCTCACACGGTCCTAAAAAATGAGACAGCCCCAAAGCCGCGGACCTGTCTCTCTCTACTTTGCAGCTTTATTTCACTTTGGGGGGGTAAGTATTCAATGTCAGGATCTCTTTTCTCTTACCTGAGAGAATAAGAGAAAGACAGGTGTGATTCCTTCCTAAAATGTGTATGGATTTGTCTTTTCTTGAAGGACTCTAAAGATGTCCAAGGTTAAGACATCAGTAAAGCATTATGTTAGTTTGCACAAGAAGAAATTAAAAAAGATAAATAAGCTCATAGACAGTGAAGAGCTTTGGTAACAACCTGAAAGAATGTTTCTAAAACATTAACTGAAAAAGCTGGGAAGTCCTTGGAATGTTGATACTCATTTTTTATCCACACAAACAGTCTGCCAGAGAAAGGACTGTCTTGTCTTAAACACTGAACTATAATTCACATACCACAAAATTCATTTCTTTAATAAAAGTGTAGAATTCAGTGATTGTCAGAAAACTCACAAGGTTGTATAATCACAAGCACTGTCAAGTTCCAGAATTTTTTGATTACTCCAGAAATAAATTCTGTATATAAACAGTAACTTCCCATCCTCCCAATTTCAAGCCCAAAGCAACTACTAGACTAATTTCTTTCTTTAAAGATTTTCATCTGGACATTTTATATAAATGGAATCATACATGTAGCTTTTGTAATCAGTCTCTTAATAGGATGTTTTCATGTTCATCCATGTTGTAGCATGAATAAGTACTTCATTCACTTTCACGACTGAATAATATTCCACCATATGGATTTATCATATGTAACCATCAGTTGATGGATATTTGAGATGTTTCTACTTTTGGTATGAACATTCATGTATGAATTTTTATGTGGACATATTTTCATTTATTGGAGTATGTATCTAGGAGTGGAATTTCTGGATCATATAGTAACTCTGTTTAGCTTTTTGAGTAACTGATAAATTATTTTCCCGTGACTATACCACTTTATATTCTCACCAGCAGTGCATGAGGATGCTAATTGCTCTACATCCTTGCCAACATGGTTTTCTATTTTCTTTCTTATAGCAATCCTAGCAGGTTTGCAGTTTTCTATATGATTTGTTTTGCATCTCAGGAGAAGTTTTTTAAATTAACATTTATAAAATTTATATCAATGTATATTAGGTCTACAGAGATAGTTCGGGTATTATAATACATTGTTGTTATGATTATCTTAATATTTGTAGTGGCCCAGAATGAGAGAACCATGAGAGTCAGCTTATGTGAACCATGAATTATACACACAGCATGCTTTAAGGAAGAGAACAGTTGACAAGAAGGGAGGAAATTATGATAGGGTTCCTGTGCAGCCAATAGGACAGCAGCCAATAGGAATTTATTTGAATGAATTCATATAAACCTGAGCTTAATTCCCATCTCTTTGAAACTAAAGTGTCCTCAGATATAAAATGGAACTAATAATTCCCACAATTCAGGTCTCCTGTGAGGATTAGATAAGCTCACAGTGCATGGTGTCATAGAAACTACTCAAGATGAGATCAGTATTTTTCTATCATATAAAATTTGCAGTACATTATACTAGGCTTATAAGACACCAAACTTATTGAACAGTGA